AAAATAGGATGTGCACAGCTGGGAGGAACCATGCCAGAGTAGCCCGTGTGTGTGCCGGGCCCTGCCTCTGACGGGGGACTGCAGACTGGCCAGTCGGCCCGGCCCTTCCCTTCCCTCCCCACCAGAAGAGGGGACCACCACCCCTGGCTGTGGGTGCCGGTATGAAGGAAGCTTACCTGTGACTGCCTCACAAAGATGCCGTGGTTTGCCCTTCCCTTCCCTCCCCACCAGAAGAGGGGACCACCACCCCTGGCTGTGGGTGCCGGTCTGAAGGAAGCTTACCTGTGACTGCCTCACAAAGATGCCGTGGTTCTCCTCGCAGGTGAAGTACTTCCGGCCCTGGACGGTGCCGTCGTTCTTGCCTTTGGCTTCATCCAGAATGACGCCGACCCACTTCCCAGTGGCAAACAGCGTGGCACCAACGTAGGCCACGGTCCCACGGTGCCCCTTCCCAATGACCTCCACTCTGGAGCCCACCTTCAGGGGCTTGCCGCTCGCTTCCACGCTCATCCTGGGGCCGGTGCTTGATGCCTAGGGTGGAAGGCAGCAAGAAGGAAAGGCAAACGGTTAGCCCACCGCCTCAGGCCACAAAAACCAAGGCACTCCCAGGCCCACTGTCTCATCAGGAACCAAGGCTGGCCCCGCTCAGGCTCCCACACGGCCTCTCGTTTTCAGGAGGTTCTGCACAAGCAAAATGAAGTTCCGCACGTGGAGGTCCTGAACGGACTGGGAACCAAAGGCATGAAGGAATACCTCAGCCCCTTCTCTCCAGCCCAGTCTCAGGACACACCCCCATCGGCTCCAGCCCAGTCTCCAAGGGCCGCCACGGGGACCTGCAGGAAAAGAGCCGGATCCAAGCCCAGCAGCAGCAGCAGCAGCTTCAGAGAGCCACAAGATACGGGCCCAAGCTCCCTCGGCCAGGGGCTGGCACCTGACAAGAGTATCTGGCGGAGGGAGCGTGGTGGCTCTCAACATCTGGCCCCAAGGCTCCCTCCTGTAAGCTGCGGAGAGTCTTGTGAGCAATAATTCTACTTGGTGAGCTACCGGCATTAAAGTTGTGAGCGAGCAATTTGGCTGCTGCACACATCAGTTTCCTCCCTGAGCTAAGACGGAAATGCGTGAGCTGGAGGCTAAAAAACTGTGAGCTAGCTCACACTGACTCAGCTTAGAGGGAACACTGGGTCTTGTCGGCCTCCGAGGTGCAGCTGGACTCCAACCCAGAGCTCCTACCAGCCAGGAGTCCTGTAAGCTGAGTCGGAAGCCAAAAGAGAGTCGGCAACTTTCTCAGTCACCAGCGGGACGTAGCCCAAGGAAGGAAGAGCAGAGATGGAGAGGGAGGGAACCGGGGCTTCTTCCCTGGCAGGGGGAAGGTCAGGAAAAAGTGAAATACATGCAACACTTACTTCCCCATGAAATCCTGGTTTGTTTTACTGTTTAGGAACACAAAATAAACTTCTACTAGTTGGCATAGTTATAAAATTTAAACGCATAAATGCCTCACAGGCCAGTCCGAAGCAGTGTTCCCTCTAAGCTGAGTTAGGGTGAGCTAGCCCACAGTTCTTTAGCCTCCGGCTCACACCTTTTTGTCTCCGCTCAGGAAGGATGGGGCTCCAGAGCAAACTAATTTATGCAGCAGCCGAATCGCTCGCTCACAGCTTTAATGCCAGCAGCTCACAAAGTAGAATTTTTGCTCACAAGACTCCACAGCTTAGAGGGAACATTGGTCCTAAGGCCCCAGTGCATCATGCTGTCCATACCCAGCTTTATCGGTTGATGGGCAGGTGGCCAGATGCCGCCCCAGAAAATCTGGCTGAGGGGCTGGAGGCTGTGGTGGGATGTCTGAAACAGAGCCGGCTGAGGCCGAACCCTTCTAAGGCGGAGGTTCTGTGGCTGGGCGGGGGGGGGACACACTCCGGGTTGGGGTGCCAACTCCCAGCTCTAACTGGTGCGCCCTCGAGACCGGCACTTATCGTCTGGGTGTGATCCCGGATGCCTCCTTGACAGTGGAGGCCCAGGTCCCAAATGTGGCCAGGCTGGGCAATTGGCCCCCAACCAATCTCGCCCTGACTTAGCCACTGTCATCCATGCAATGGTCATTGCCAGACTGGATTACTGTAACTCGCTCTACATGGGCCTGCCCTTGAGGCTGACCCTGAAACTCCAACTGGTGCGAAATGCAGCAGCAGCGGCACGGGTCCTTACGGAGATGCCTTGCACAGCGCACAGTCATCTGGTCCTGCGCGAACTGCCCTGGCTTCCGGTGGTCTGCCGGATCAGATTCAAGGTTATGGTGTTGACGTTGAAGGCCCTTAACGGTCAGGGTCCTACATACCTCCGGGACCGCCTCTCCTGCTATACCCCCCAGAAGAGCATTACACTCAAAAGAACAGAACTTATGGGTGGTCATAGAATCAGAATGTTAGAGTTGGAAGGGACCTTGCAGGTCACCTAGTCCAACCCCCTGCACTCTGCAGGAGGCACAGCCCTACAATATACCGGAAAGAGGGCCATCCAGCCTCCGCATGGAAACGTCCAGCAAAGGAGCCTCCACCACCTCCCGAGGCAGTCTGTTCCACCGCTCAACGGCTCTTACAGTCAGGAAGTTTCTCCTGATATTTAGTATCGTATCGACTCCCTTGTAATTCCCACCCATTAGACCTAGTCTCGCCATCCGGAGCAAGAGAGAATAGATACGCTCCATCTTCTACATGACAGCCCTTCAGATATTTGGAGACTGCAGTCATGTCCCCTCTAAGCCTTCTCTTTCCCAGGCTAAACAGACCCAACCCTTTCAGCCTTTCCTCATTATAAGACTTGGATTCCAACCCTCTCACCATCCTGGTTGCCCTCTTCTGGACACGCTCGAGCTTGTCAACGCCCTTCCTACAATATGGTGCCCAAAACTGGACACAGGACTCTAGGTGAGGCCTGACCAGAGCAGAACAGAGCGGAACGACGACCTCCCGTGATCTGGACACGATGCTTCTGTCAATGCATCCTGAGACTGCATTAGCGTTCTTCGCAGCCACATCGCACTGCAGGCTCATGGTCCCTGGCCCGAGAGACATCTGCCGGTCCTCAACCAGCGCCAGGGCCGCCTTTGCCTGGTGGAACCCTCTGCCAAGTAACCGCCATGCCCTGCGGGGTATTTTACAGTTCCGCAGGGCATGCAAGGCATAGATGTTCCGCCGGGCCTTTGGCTGAGGACAGCGACGGTTCAGTCTTGGCACTTCCCACCTTCCGCTTCCCCTCCCCCACCTGTTTCCCATGAGACAACAGCGCAGCGAGGATTTTAGCGCCATTTGTAAGCAATTACTCAGATTATTGTGTTTTTATTGCCTCGTGTAAATTTTAATTTCAATGTTTTATAGGACCGTATGGTACACCACCCTGGGCCTGGTCTTACTGGGGAGGGCGGTTGATAAATGTAATAAATAAATAAGTATAAATAAAAACCACTGCCGCTGGCACGTCACGGCCAGTCAGTACCCTACACCTCCTCTGCAGCGGGGAATGGGAGACGCTCTCCCCAGGAGGTGCGCCGGAGGTCACACCGACCCTTCTCCAGCCAGGGAGCGCCCTGCCACTGCCCCTCCCCCCCCGGAAAAAAAGAAACCACCCTGCAGAGTACGCTGAGCTACCCATGCCATCGATGCCCGGTCACTATCATGCACGAACGATGGAGGGAACGTGGCACCCTCCACTGGAAGGAGAGCTGCACCCCTCCAGGGAGCCCTGCAGATAAGGGCTCAAGTTTCTTTGTGGTCCTTTTGTAATGGGAGACTATAGAATCATAGAATGTTAAGAGTTGGATGGGGAATGGGAGACGCTCTCCCCAGGAGGTGCGCCGGAGGTCACACCGACCCTTCTCCAGCCAGGGAGCGCCCTGCCACTGCCCCTCCCCCCCCGGAAAAAAAGAAACCACCCTGCAGAGTACGCTGAGCTACCCATGCCAACGATGCCCGGTAACTGCCATGCATGAAAGACGGAGGGAACGTGGCACCCTCCACTGGAAGGAGAGCTGCACCCCTCCAGGGAGCCCTGCAGATAAGGGCTCAAGTTTCTTTGTGGTCCTTTTGTAATGGGAGACTATAGAATCATAGAATGTTAAGAGTTGGAAGGGATCTTAGAGGTCACCTAGTCCAATCCCCTGCACTCTGCAGGAGCACAGCCGAAAGGCAGCCCTACAACATACCCGAAAGAGGGCCGTCCAGCCTCCACTTGAAAACGTCCAGCAAAGGAGCCTCCACCACCTCCCGAGGCAGACTGTTCCACTGCTCAACCACCCTGACAGTTAGGAGGTTTTCCCTGACACTTAGCCAGTAGCGACTCCCTTGTCATTTCCCCCCATTAGATCTAGTCTTGCAATCCGGAGCAAGAGAGAAGAGATCTGCTCCATCTTCTACAGATATTTGAAGACTGCAATCATGTCCCCTCTAAGCCTTCTCTTTCCCAGGCTAAACAGACCCAACCCTCTAAGACTTGGATTCCAACCCTCTCACCATCCTGGTTGCCCTATTCTGGACACCATCTCACTCCTGCATCCAATCAGAGATCAGGACTAAACAATTTGAAAAGAGCTTTGCCTACGCAAAGTGTTTAGTGGCAGAGTTTATTTATTTATTTGATTTGCACCCCGCCTTTCCCGCCGAAGCAAGCCAGGTTTCAGGTTTTTGTCTGCAGGATTTATCTATAAAAGGCTGTCTATCAACCCTCAAAACTGATAATACAAACAAATAAAAAGTTTGGTTCTTTAACTATAACCCACAAACCATAAATGTGCATAGAATTTTTATCTTTTATTTTAAAAAGAAACAGCTCAGCTCTCTTAATTAAGCAAGAGATGGGCATATGAAAATTAACCCTACAGCTACTGTAAAAATATGGGCTACAATGATCAGTGTTCCTCACATTGTTTAATCATATAGTAATATTTTTAAAAGCAAGCCAGGTTTCAGGTTTTTGTCTCACTACTTTTAGGGATTATCAACAAGCCCAAGTCACAAACACCCAGAGGTCTCACCTAACCCTCTTCTGAAACTTCCATCCAGAGAAATCTGATTTACTTATCACAGTAGTGCATATCTAGAGAAAAATATCAATCTTATCTTTTTTTGTAAATCTCTTCTATCATAATCACATGATTACTATCTAGATAAGTGGTCGGTTCTTAAATATATATGAGACAATCAACACAAGTGCAAATGAGCCAGTCAGCAAGTGCATATGAGTTACATCTGATAAAGCAAGATAAGAAGGCCGATCTTAACTCCTATCCTAAATTAAAAAGCAGCATTTCTGTAAATGTTTCTATTAACCGTCAAAGACGAAAGTGACTTTGAGCAACTGGAGTCCACTGACTGCTGAAGAGTGCCTGAACTCTCGGTTAACACGCATATTCAGCAAGAAAAACCACGAAATAATCAGCGGCCGCTACACCTGGTTTGGGGGGCCCTTGAATGTGGGAGCTTCTCAAACCGCCCGGCCCTACCCTGCTTCTCCTGGGTGATGAAGAGGGAAAGGAAAGGCAGGAGGTGCTCTTTAGCAACTGGCCGGCTTTCGTCATTGAGATGGGTCCAGGGTAAAACGAAGGGCATTTGTTTTAACACCCAGCACAACTTGTCCATGATGACTGTTATCAAGTTTGACGCAACGCAGGGGTCAGGGGTTCTGTGTTATGAGACTGATACAGCTGAAGGAGGGGGTGGAATGGGGCATGCTACCCATAAAACAGAATGCCTCGCAAGTAGAAAACTTAACACGGAGGCAAGTTCTAATCACCCAGTTGCTTCCCATTCTGAAGTTCAACTTAAAGGGAACTTTTAAGGTGGGGGAAAGCACTTATCTTTGAATGCCCAGCCCCCTAAAGAGTTCTGGTGAGCTTGAAACTTGCCCGCTGATTGGTGCCAAATGCCTGACCCAGGGAACCCTTCCCTTCCCTCCTGGCTGACGAAAGGCTGGCTGGCTGGGGAGAGACGACCTGACATGCTCAGAGGCACTCTTGCCATTTTAACAAGTCACAGTTATTCACGTATCTTTTACGTGTGTGTTTGGTGGGGTGGCACACAGGGTATAGGATACACATGTGGCTCTTTGGGGTGATGGTAACTGTGAAGAGCACTAGAAGGCTTGTATATGGGAGGTTTGTTTGTTTTTTCTTTTCATTTTTGTTATTCATCCCAAAAGGGACTATTTTGTTTCTGGGTTGTTTCATATGGTTTTGCTTCATTATTGTTTCTTTTGATACTGTCGTTTTGTTTTCCTAATTCTACCTCGTGGTTTCAATGGAAGATCCCCCCCCAAAAAAAAACACACACAGAAACCCTTTCTCGGGTCTGTAGTTTCAAATTTTTCCACCCAAAATGTGCAAAACACAGTGGGGTTGTAGTCTTCCCCAAGGCACCCACACTACCAAACTTCAGACAGAGAGAATCCCCCCTTTCTTTCTTCTGTTTTTTGAGGCAATGAAATGCACCAGGCAGTACACAGAGGCCACTGGAGAACAGCAGCTGGAGAAGAGGCAGCCGGGCAAGGCCAGGGCGTCTGGGGGCATCAGGGCGGGCAGGCAGGCAGGCAGCAGGACCTGGAGGCAGATTTGCCTGGATGGGGGGATGAGATTCGGAGAGTGGCAAACGCGCAGCAAAGGGCAGGCTGCAATGGGAAATTCGGCACAGCAGGGCAGGCCACTGGGAGGAGAGAAAAAGGCAAAGTTGCCCCCCCCCAAAAAAATATTCTTTAGGGTTAGAATTATGTCACACCTGTACGTAACCCTCCTGTCCAATTTGCAGTCAGTCCAGAAAGCTCCGAGCATCTGTCCCCGTCCCGTCCCCCCCCCGAAGGAACCCTGGGCTTTCTCTATGCCAGGGTCCCCAGCCTTTTTTAGCCCGGTGCCCGCCAGCCCTTTTTATTAGGAAAATGCCAGCTGCCTTGTCATAGTAAAACCAACAGAGGCAGCGACTGCAATAGCAAAAGAAACCAGAGCAAAATGGGGAACGGCTCATGCTTCTCGTTTGTTTTTTTGTTATAGGCTGTTTCAGATGGTGAATTTGTTTTATTTTCGTATTCATTATAATAGATCCAAGTGGGTGCAGCCGTGTCGGTCTGAAGCAGCGGAACAAAATTTGAGTCCAGGCAGGTACCTTGAAGACCAACAACATTCTATTCACGGTATAAGCTTCCGTGCGCACGCCCACTTCCTCAGATACAGTGGAACAGAGCCGCCTTGACCATTACTTGAAGGGGTGGAGTGGGGGTTGTTGTCAGGAAGGGCCATTGAGAGTCGAAATGCATAAGCACCGGGTGATTATAGTGGAGACTGGATGTAAGAAGGATCTGGGAATGGCAGTGGATTAGCATACAAATGCAAGAGTTAACAAACAGAGGTGTGAGTCCAGGGGCACCTACAAGACAAATAAAGTTCAGTTCTTGGTAAAAGCGGGAACTGAGAGACTCAGTATGTACACACTCCTTCAGATTCACGGGGACAGACTCCCTCAGATATTATACATACAATCACCCAGTGCTTATGCATCATGACTCTCAGGGCCCCTTCCTGATAACAGACCCCACCCCTATGTAATGGTCAAGGAGCTTCTATTCCACTGTATCCAAGGAAGTACGCGTGCACACAAAAGCTTATACCATGAATAAAACTGTGTTGGTCTTAAAGGTGCTCCTGGACTCAAACTCTGTTATTCAAACTTTGTTACAAACACCCCGTTTTTGTAATTATTTTAATTAATGATGAAAGAAAAAGAGAAGTCAAGCAACAAAGTTGCAGATTTAGAGATCCTGAGATACAGATTGCCATGACATTATAATAATATAATTATATTCAATTCCTGATGGAAAAAGCATGGATGGCAGCGGGAGTGGGGGGGGGGGGTGGAAGCCACTGCACTGTATCTGCAGCCACAGCATCAATAAAGAAACTACGCCAGCCTGTCTCCATGCAGAAAACCAGAACACAGAGCATATATTTTAGCAAATAAAACACCTCTCAGGGTGGTTTACTCCACAACACTAGGGCAACCACAGAGAAGGCCCCGCTTCCTGCCGCAGACATTTTTAATTCCTGGAAAAAGGGAATCAGGAAATGCAGTCCCCAGAGGTGATCTCAACAGGTGGGCGGCAGGCCTTCTACAAGAAGAGGTGCTCTTCGAGGCAGGCTAGTCCCCGGGCTGCAAAGAGCAAAGCCAGCCGCTTGAATGGTGCCTAGAAGGGTTCAGTTCCTCTAGCCCAGATCCAATGCATTCCCCAGAAACCAGGAGTCCTCAGCCAGACTCCAGAACGCCCCTTTCTAGACTTAGAATTCCCACCCTGACTATGCTCTCATTCCAAGAGTGGCTGTGGACTGCCTTCAGTTTAGGCTCACTCTGTGGATTCGCAAGGACACCCGTCCCCTGCTAAAATGCAGGCTCCCAGGACTACTACCTGCCTGGATGGAAATGTACATCTCTCCACACACACCAGCTGCTCCTCATACATGAGACAAATGCTCCCTCTAAGCTGTGGAGTATTGTGAGCAGAAAATGTACTTTGTGAGCATCCACCACACACCCCAGAAAGGGTCCATGAAGCGAGATATCCTGAGCAGATCCTGAAGAAGAAGAGGAGAAGAGATTGGATTTACACCCCATGGCCCTTCACTACCCAAAGGTGTCTCAGAGCGGCTGACAAACTCCTTGCCCTTCCCCTCCCCACAACAGACACCCTGGGAGGCAGGCGGGGCTGAGAGAGCTCTGACAGAAATTGCTCTTTTTCAAGGACAGCTCTTGAAAGAATTTGTGACTGACCCAAGGTCATCCAGCCAGGTGCCAGTGGAGGAGTGGGGAATCAAACCCGGTTCTCTCAGATTAGAGTCCGCGCACTTAACCACTACGCCAAACTCCCTGCCAAATTCCTCCTGCCGACCCAACACAAAGAGCAGATCTGCCGCACCCTCAGCTCTTCTCTTGCGATGTGATGAGCGGCTACTCCTGGGTCTGACGGACCAAGAGAACACAGAGACACAGGCGTGGCCTAGCTTGTCGGGAAGCTTGACAACCTTGACCAAAATTGGGAAGTTCCGATTTCTGTCTCCTTCAACCCAGGAAAAGTGTTTGTATTCACAGGAATCAGGAGCTGGCCTGGGATCCACCCAATAAACCATTCTCCTGCACAGACCCCTCTGAGATGGATGCAAACTCCTCAAGTGATGGAACCGCCGGAGAATCGCCCTTAGAAAATCCTACGACTAAGATGTAAACAAGCAGGAAGAAGGAACGCCGCAAATTCTGGAAAATGACAGGGTGGAAGAGAGGGTGTTAAAAAAAAAATCTGGAGCTGATAAGAAAGTAGGTTAAAGAGCCTCGTTATAAAATGCGGCGATGCATCAAGGCCCGTTCCGGAACTGAAAAGAGCCCCACATCCACCGCAATCAATACCTAATTCCTACAGGCAAATGACTGCAGACACCCAGCCCGAGCCCCACATTAACCACCACCGAGGGGCACTTGGAGGGGGGAGGGGGCAGGATGCCCTTGTGCAGAGGGGATGTCATCAGGCCAGGAGCGCAGCATCCTGGGGGAAAAGGGGCGGGCGGGGGGGGGGAGACACAGTCAGAGCAGCCACCATCATCCTGCCGCTGCAGGGCGGAGGAGAGGAGGACCACGCCTGCCTCCCTGCTGGCTCCAACCGCACGCGAGAGAAGGGGCTCTTGGCCTTGCCACCGCCTTGCCTGGGCCCACCTCTCACCAGCAGCCTCCCTTCCAGGCCCGGGGGGGGGGGCGGCAGTGGCCAGGCACGTCCCACAATCAGGCCTCTGGCACCCACCACAGAACTCCACAGCTTCTCCCCCCACAGCCCCTGGCGAGCCCGAGTGTCAGGGCTCCATGTACAACAGGGCCGGTGGCCCAGGAGCCCAGCCGGTTGAGATCAGGGCTCCGTGGAAGCAGCCAGACCCGGGACTGCCTCCCGCAAGCAGGAGGCCAAGGCTCCAGGAAGAGCACCGTGGGCATCACCCTGGCCATGTGGCCCACCGGGGACCTGTAAGACGGAGCTCTTCCGCCAGGTTTACACACAGAGACAGACTCCGTGTTCGAGGCCAAGGGAGCATCCGCTCAGCTCACGAAGGCATTCAGAGCTTAGGAAGATGCTGCAGGCCAAGCCGAGCCTGGCTCAGTTGGGGCCACCATGACACACTTCAAGAGCCTCTCTTCCCTCTCCACCTACGCACATCCCAAGAGACCCTCCAGGAGGCTGTACCCACAGCAAGAAACCCGTGGGACCAGAAGAGAGGCCTCTCCATGGGTCGCTCTGCAGTACCAGAGTCAGGCGCCTTTCTCTGCACACAAGGCAGGTCGGACACGCACAAAACACAACCAGGAAGTCCGAGGAGCCAGGAGAAGGATTTCCCGTACGTCTCCCCAGAGAAAAGGCCAGCAGGCCACAGAGCAGGACGCAGAGGACCGCCGCCCCCTCTCCTGCCCGGCCTGCCAGCTCAGATCTGCCTCCTGGGTCCTGCTGTCTGCCCCCACCTTCAGAGAGTGGCAACTAGAGAGGGCCGTTTCCATGGCAGCAGCTCACCTGTGGAACTCCCTCCCCCTGGAGGCTCACCAGGTGCCTCCCACCCTGTCTTTTAGGTGCCAGGCCAAAACATTTCTTTCTATCCAGGCTTTTAACTGAGGGGTTTTCAATCTCTTCAGCTGTTTTACAGTCCGCTTCTGCAATGAGGTCAGTTTCATGGGTGCCCTTATGCTGCTTCTGTGTTGGTTTTGTGGCGCCTTTCCCTGCAAGCTGCCTTGAGTGGGACTCCCAGCAAACCAGCCTCTCCTCCCCCCTCCACTCGGCCCCGAGAGTTCCCCCCCCCCGCCACGGCAGCCAGCTCCAGAGGTGCCAGGTGGGCAGAGGCAAAGGGGAAAGTAAGAGCCCTGCACCAGAATCCCCTTCCGGTGGCAAACTCGGCTTCTCTGAATGCCAGTTAAGGGAGCTCACTGAGGAAGCTTTTCCAGAGACTGCTCCCACCCACCCTCCTGCATTTTGGCACTCCCTGCAGGGAAGGGGCCCTGCCTGCCTTCCTGGAGTGTCCTACGCCTCCTCCCCAGGAACAAGCAACCGCACGGGTGCTGCAACCCACGCCACACGCCCCACAGAGGACAGCAGCTTTCTCCTGGGGCACATATTCATGAAGCACAGGCTTATCCTGGCTACTAGCCATGGTGGTTAAAGGCACTAAACCTCTGAATCCCAGTGCCATCAGGGGAAGGCCTCAACCTCTCTGCCCTGCTGTTGGCTGTCCAGAGGAACTGGTTGATGCCACTGTGCGAGACGGGATGCTGGACTAGATGGAGCTTCACTGCTCTGATCCAGCGGGACTCTTCTGGTGTCCTTATCAGGGGAAGGCCTCGGCCTCTCTGCCCTGTTGCTGGCCCTCCAGAGGGACTGGCTGGCCCCTGAGTGAGACGGGAGGCTGGACTAGAGGGACCCTCCCTGGTCTGACCCAGCAGGGCTCTTCTGGTGTCCTTCTCAGGGGAAGGCCTCGGCCTCTCTGCCCCGTCGCTGGCCCTCTGGAGGAACTGGCTGGCCCCTGTGTGAGACGGGATGCTGGACCGGATGGACCCTCACTGGTCTGACCCAGCAGGGCTCTTCTGACTCAGGGAAAGGCCTCGGCCTCTCTGCCCCGTCGCTGGCCCTCCGGAGGAACTGGCTGGCCCCTGTGTGAGACGGGATGCTGGACTAGAGGGACCCTTCCTGGTCTGGCCCAGCAGGGCTCTTCTGGTATTCTTATTAGGGGAAGGCTTCGGCCTCCCTGCCCTGTTGCTGGCCCTCCAGAGGAACTGGCTGGCCCCTGTGTGAGACGGGAGGCTGGACTGGAGGGACCCTCACTGGTCTGACCCAGCAGGGCTCTTCTGATGTTCTGGTATTCTTACATGGACCAAATGGACTCCGGTTCTAGCATCCTGCCTCTTCGGTTCAGAGGGGAATGCATTCTTCAGAGCCATCCATCCAGACCCTTTCCCAAACACTCAGACCCACACCCCAGTTTCTGAAGCCCCTCCACTCCGAAGGCCCTGGAGGACAAAGCTGCTCCAGACCCCCCCCAACACACCCCGCTTGGGCTCCCTGGTCCAGTGCTGGAGGCCTCCCCTCCTGCCAGAAACGGGCAGCCTTTAGACCCCAGGAGCTCCAGCCACCGAGGCGCCTCCGGCCACTCCACGCCAGAGGCCCCCTTCGCCAGAGCAGGCCTGCTACCCACCCCCCAACTCATTGTTCCATGATGCAACTGTGGCCTGGAAGCCTCCTTGAGGCAGGTGGAGCAGAAACACCTTCTTCAGTGAAACAAGCAAAGGACCTCTCTGCACCAGAGCGAGGGGGGCTCGTGCGGGCCCTCCAGAGCTCTGCCACCCTCCTGACTCAAAGGAGGAGATTACTCAAGGATTACTAACTCACTCATCACTCCGTGACAGAATGGGGGTGGCTGCGGCTGTCTTCTCCGCGGAGGAGGAGGCGAGCGAGCGAGGGAGGCAGGGAGAAAGTCTCCACGTGGGGCTGCCTGGTGAGGACGGAAGCCGGGCTTGCCTCGGGGAAGCCAGCGGCCCCAGTAAACGCCAGGCAGGTACGGCAACGGGGGCGCGAGGGCGCGAGAAGAGACGCACAGCAGCAGCCGGGTGAGACCAAGATGGAACGACAGCAGGCCCGGAACACAAACGGAAGGCCCAGGCCATCTCAACGGACCTCAGGGGCTGAGCAGAGCCGGCCCCGGTCAGTCCTTGGGAGGGAGACAGCCTCCCCCCCACACGCAGAGTCAGGCAACTGCAAACCACCTCTGGCACCTGGAGAACCAGTTTGGCTGTAGTGGTGAAGTGCACAGAGGACTCTACTCTGGGAGAACCGGGCTTTATTCCCCACCCCTCCTCCTCCACATGCAGCCAGCTGGGTGACCTTGGGCCAGTCACAGTTCTCTCAGTGCTGGTCTCTCAGAGCTCTCTCAGCCCCACCTCCCTCACAGGGGGTGTCTGTTGGGGAGGAGGGGAAGGGAATGGAGTTTGTGAGCCGCTCTGAGAGTCCGAGTGAAGGGCATGGGGTATAAATCCAATTTCTTCTTCTTCTTCTTCTTCTTGCCTGGAAAACCCCACGAGGGGTCCCCAGAAGTTGGCCTGTGACTTGATGACACACACACGCCCCTGCCCCGCCGGCCACCAGAGGGGACTTGCAGGGAAGGCTGGCGAGGAGTCCAGTCCAGCCCCAGGGCTGTCAGGCAGCCGAGGTGGTGTTGTGGCGAGAGCACCGTGACGGAGAGGCCCAGGTGCCAACCCCCACTCTGCCACGGACGCTTGCTGGGTGATCGGGGGCCAGTCCCTCCCTCTGAGCCTCACCGACCCCACAGGCTTACTGCGAGGATAAAACAGAAGCGGGGAGCATGATGTCAGCCATTCGAGGTCTTCACTGGGAAGAAATGTGGGGGTGTCAGTGACTTATGTATTTCGGCAAGTAAAAGTCACAGGCCGAGCCCTTGCGCGCCTCAGTGCAGCACGGCCAAACGGCAGAGACCTGCCCCCCCCACCAAGGCCCACCCCCCACCCCCCTGGACTGCGACTGGAATGCACATCAAACCCGCCCAGACGGTGGCAGCTCCCAATCCGGCACCCCCTCCTGGCATTCCCCAGAGTGGGAGGGAATACCATCACCACACCATCAGGAGCCGAGACGGCCCCCGCGGGCACCCACGGCCGAGGGACCCGAAGTCGCCTTCCCTTTAGGGACTACAACAGCACTCCCTTCCCGGTCAGGGTGATGCGCTGAAATGCACCACTAGCCAAATGGTGCATTCCACAGAGTCAGCAAAGCAGGCTCTCCCCCCACACACACAGGCAGCCCCGGAGCCTGTGGCCTGCTCAAGAACGCCGCCCTCCCTCCCGCAAAACGTGGCCTCGGAGGGCTTCTAACCTGGGGACGGTTCCCCATATCCCCAAATACCGACCCTCTGAAGTACACGGACCTAACAGCCCAGGCCTGCTGCTCCGGAGGCCGGAACACGGGGGGGTGGGGGGCTCGCTGGCCTGGCCACGCCGGGCTCCCAAGAAGCACCACGGCTTTCAAGGGACGCCCAGGGAAGTGTCTCCAGAACAGCACAGAACCACGTCAGTGGAGCAGGTGGGCCAATGTCTCGGCCACGAGGGCAAACGTTCGGCCTCTTCTTGTTGTCAGCTGAGCCACCCCCCCTCCAGACAGGGGAAGAGAGGCACCCGTGACCACAAGGGCTTGCAGAGGCAGGGAAGGGGGACGCAAACAGAGCCACCCAGCACTACCACCACCCCAGCCTGAGTCACAGGCAGCTCCCTGCCAAGTAACGGGGATGTCCAGTCATTGAGACTAGGGGGTGTCGTGGGGGGCAACGAAAACAAAACAACAAAGGAGGACACTCCAGAGAGAGAGAACGCTGCCTCCCCCCCCCACCCCCCAGCTCCGAGTCCTGCTGCTGAGTTTGCAGGCCTCTGGGGAAAGTCTGGGCTCCCAAAGGCCACCCACGAACATCCCAGCGTCTCTGGGCAGGCCCAGAAGGAGCACAACGCCTGGCAGGAGGGCTGGGGAAGGGAGCCCTGGGCAGCGAAGAGCCACCCCCCACCCCACCCCACCCCACAGAGAGGGGCTCAGCTGAGACCTCCTGATGTGGCGGGCCAGAGGCTCCTGTCCAGGGGAGGGGGGGAGGAGGAGGGGGGCTCTCTCGGCTTCCCACGAAATGTCGGCAGAGAGCAGTGCAGCAGCCGCCAGGGGGGGTGGTCTCTCTGGCCCCACTCCCCCGCTCCCGGCTGCCTGCAGGTGTCCTCCTCCTCCTCCTCCTCCTCCTCCTCCTCCTCGCAACAGATTGCCTGGAGAGCGCGGCCCCTCCAGGGGCACAGGCCAGGGCCCTGGCAGGAGGCTGCCCACTCGCCACGGGCAGGCAACTTACCCGGCTGTACGCGTGCCTCTTGGGCTGGGCCATGCCGAGGGCTTTCCTCCCTCCCTCTCTCTCTCGCTCTGTCTCTCTGAGAAGGACTGCTGGAAGGGCTGGCCGGTCCTATCTCATGGCCGGGGTGACCCAGGGAAGAGGCAGCCCTGCCTCCCTCTCTCTCTCTCTCTCCCCCCAGCCGCACGGGGCACAGGAGGAGGAGGAGGAGGCGAGGAGCCCTTCTCCAGAGAGGAGGAGGAGGACGAGGAGGAGGAGGGTGGTGGCAGCGGCGCAGCGGCTCTCAGCCTCCAACACACACAAATCCAGCCCAGCTGATGGAGACTCTCTGCGCTAGAGCCGCTCCAGTCTCTTGTCACCCAGCGTGCCAGCCCACTGGGTCCTAATGCTAGACCAGATCACACCGAAACATCCGAGGGAAGGCTGGCCCGGGGGCCTGGGCAGGCGGAGCAGGGAAGGCAAGCGCCCCGGGGGCATGAGGGCAGGAGTGAGTCCTGGGTGGGCCGAGAGCACCTGTCCGGAGGGGGGGCCAGCCTCCACCAGACTCGGGGCACAAGGACCCAGGCAGGCGGCATCCAGTTGAGCCCCTGAGCCTGCGGAACTGCCCAGAGTGCCCACGAGGCACGCTCAAGCCTGCCCCCCCGCCACTGGTTCAGGCCCCTCCTCCCACCCGCCAGGCTTCTCTCAATGGACTGACTGGGCGGAAGGGAAGGGAAGGAAGGACCTCCCTCTTGCATGGGGGGTTTTGGGGACACAGTGCCCACCAGGCAAGCGGGCAGCAAAGCCCCTCACGGAGCGGAGCAGCCTGGCATCTCTGCACAGGACGCAGGGCACAAAGGGAGAATACGTGGGCAGGAGGCCTCTTCTCACTCTCTTCCCTACGGCTGTCCTAAAAGACGCCTCCTCACAGCCCCCAACACGCAGCTGCGGGGGGGGGGGGGGGGGAGGGGAAGAAAAAACA